AAAGGAAAATGAATATAATTATATTACATTGTGAGGGTTACTCAACAGAAATAACCAACTTCCTCAAAGAATTTGTAATGCAAAGATGTCAGTAGGAGGAAGGTGCGAAATATTATGTCACGCCCTCATGCCGCCCTGGGAAAGTTCACAATTTGTCGATAACAATCATTTACATAACCCCCGACGTTCCGTTTGAGTTCTAATAACTCGTACACAATTGCTACTATATTGATAGTGAATGTAATTTTTAGTACTCTTATGTTATTGAATAGCAGGGGAATACTAAAATATTTAAATTCAATGTTCAACTTGACAATTATTCTAATCTGGTTCTGATATTTATATGATAACCTTGAAGTTGTCTTCGATTTCCATAATGTTTATGATTCTGCAGAAGTCTATTAATATGCCAATGGTGTCTGTCTTACTGTTACGTACGATACGGTTGTCGCACCGAAACAACTACACGTATATAATATATAAAGTCAAACGCAGTGACTAAAACTTTTAAAAAATTCATATATAGAGAAGTACACTCATAGTACAGGGCCATAACTGAGAATGCTCGGAGATTAGCAGTCGCAATTTCTTTGCTTTCCTAGAGGCTTTGCCAATAATTGTCGCATTTGGCAACGACGGTTGCGCGAGATAATACCTAGCACATTGGGGTTTATGGTAATGCAACTTGAAATACTGAACACTGAATTTATTTAATTGCCTAAAGTTACTAGAATATGATAAGGTTTTACCCAAAACTCATACAAAAGAAAACTGTACATTTTTAATTAAATGAATGTATTCGCACGTTTAATTGTTGCCTATGAATGTCAATACATCCATTTCATCGTTGCTATATTATTCTGTATAAAATTCGAAATTGAAAGAGTTAATAATTTAATACATAAAATAACGAGTTTCAATAAGGAAAATCCAAACTTGAGCTTAAAAGAAATGCAAACAAGTGAAATTTAGATATTATTAGAACTATGATATTCACTTAAAATTCAGTATTTTCCCCTTTCCAGGACTATCCTACGAATATTATACGTCGACTCAACGCAAGTAAAGGCAATATAATAAGATACATTTAAGAAAGATGAAGCGACGACCTCGAAAATATTGCAGACAAGCAATATGGACTAACAACGTGATTCAAATAAATAAGATCATGCTAAAATTGCTTAACTATGCAAATAATGTCCACTAACTAACTGCGATAACAAAAAGCACAACCTAAGCACTAGTTATAGATGTTACAGCATAGGCCCGATTAAATTTTTGTCTTTCAGTTATACTATTATATGAAGACATAATTCTCAAACGACGAGTGAATGCAAAATATCGTTTTGGGTCTGCATTACAAAGGGTCGTTTTAAGATATTGTTAGTACTAAAATTTTATTCATCTACCCAATCACTCCTTATGGTGTACTTAGGCACAGTAAGGTTTGTCGAACAAAACATAAAACTTAACTGAAGAAACGCCGAAATATTTCTCCCAGCTACGTCTTTCCATGGAGTCCATTTAGATTAATTTATAGAGCAAACTGGAATGTAAATAGAAGCTGCCACAGTAATTATTTGAATAACAAATGTAGACCTTTATTTAGAAAATAAATAAGTATTTAATTCAAAAGGTGTCTCACTTTTAACGTTAAAAGTGCTTAAGTTAGACTATAAGGATCGTTAACACTTACAGGCACTCCTACATAACATTTACTTTAAATGCTTCAAAGCTACTATAAGTATGAGATCTTCTTTCATAATTTATTTTCGTTATAATTTTGTAAGACTGAGATGAACTGTCAGAATAGTTGCCTCATTAAAGCTTGTCGTGATTTAATTACGTACTGACATGGACGGAAAATGTACATTCGAAATAACATCGTTAGCGATGTTATATTATTCCAACATTATGTGTTTTATTATTTTCTTTTTAGATTTTATTATATTTAGTGACAAAAGTATATTTGTAAGAGTTATCTTTTATTAGTTTTATTACTAACTACTTTATCTATATTTGTTGTAAAAATGTTGTATAATCTTTTGTGTAATAGCGTTTAGTTTGTATATCAAAGTAAATATGTGACTACTTACAATATTTTTGCAAAATATTTTCTAACAATATTCTCTACTCTAATTTCTATTAAATTCAACTTGCCGTTACTGCAGAGGAGAAATTCCCAAGTCTGACAGAAAATTTAGAGTCATTGAATTGATTTTAACTAACTAGTTTATAGTTATCACCATCCAGTCCTAATAGTATAGATAACGTTTATAATCGCTTCCAGAATAACAGTAACAGATAAATATCTTTTTTTCGTGTGGAGTGCTTCCTTCAAAATGATAATAAAACACATAATAAAATAAATTTTCTTTAAATATTACAATCAGCTCTAATACGCAATATCTAAACAAATTAATGGTTACCCATCTAGATATATAAATTGCCTACTCGCACTTGACTATTTATTACGAAACTCGTTTCATTCCTAAATATTTTCACGTCGGCCTTTGTCTTGAAAATAATTGGAGTGGTTGAGCTATGACTGAAATTTATGGACTTTAAGTAATTCTGTAAAATCATTCTTAACGATTTTGTTTATTTCCTTAAAAAGGCTCTCGGGATCAAGTCCCTTCATTTAATAAGGTTAAATGTATCACCTACTTATGTAAATAACATTCGGTACGCCTAAAATTTACATCTCTATATTTTACTGTGTGTTCTTTAGTTAAGTGTTTTCTCTTTTGGCTAACTATACGCTTTGAGCAAAGGGTTATTTGAACTGCTGTAGTATATTCTCAGTTATATAGTTTTTATGACTTTTAATTGAAGGGTTCTTTATATTTATGAGTGATTACAGTAAACTATTTATGTAAGTAATTATTAAATATTAAAATAAGTTTATTTCAATGAGCAATGCAACATATAGAGTGTTTAATGTCTCCAGTTTGCCGTAATTAAATTTCTTAAAATTAACACATTTCTGTCATAAAAATCAAGCAATATCAATTGGTTCCTTAGTTTAGAAAATGATGATATATTTCATTTCCATTAAAGACTTCTTCTCCCTAAATTAATTCCGTATTCTGAATCAATAGAGCACTAACACAGAATACATAATAATACCTCTATATAAAAATTACTGACTCTTACTATGTTTTGGTAAGTAGGTCAAATAAACAAATGCATTCGTATTAATTTTGTTACTTCACTCTAAGGACAGAAGGGACTGAATAGGAAAGACCGATACAATAAAAATATTTAATACAAATATTATGAAATAGGAAAATAACATAATATTGTTAAGTTGCTAGGATATTCAAAGGGAGGATTACCCTCTAAATACAATTTCTTGTGTTTGGAGGAAATTATTAGGGCGGTTTTCCGAGTTTTTATCTTGATACACGGTGATTTTTTGTACCTCTATGTAAACTTTATCCAACTAGATAGATAACGGAATATTGCCCTAGTTTACGTAACTATATCTTTATATTCTACATAAATTATCTAATAATTCATTTTTTAAGATATGATACTTATAATTTGTAGTCTCCCGCTGCATTTTCTTTTCTTCTTTTGTCACCCATCTCCGATTTTGAGGACGAGATGCCTAAATTTTGTACCTATAATAAAAAAACAGATGGTGTTAGTGAGAACAGTCTTTAATGTCTTTCTAATTTTAAATGTATACACAGGACTTAATGTTAAATTTATATATTATTTTCAAGTGGCTATTAAATATGTTGCATTCTAAAAGCAACTTAAGTGTATACCCTAAAGTGGTTTCGCGACAGCATGCTAAGGAAAGCAAGGAGCGCTCGAAACTGTACCCATTCTATTTGCGTCCGATCATTATGCAGCAACACGCGCTTAAACTGTATCGGCTCATTTCCGTTGCCCTCCCTTCATCTACAGTCATTTGTAGCCAATATTTGACCAAATTTGTCTGTACACATGCTCTACTGGGCGTTGAAAGGATGTTCTAATTAATGAAGTTTTCTCGTTGTGTAGTTATTTATTGTTATTAATCATATAATAAATATAGATTATATTTTTAAATATGAATTCAGATTTTTATGAAATTTATACAGTGTAATTTATGTAAGTAGAGTATTAAATATCCTAGTAACTTCTGAAATTAATTGCAATTTTGTCGTAATACAAAGCGACTTAGGCATGAATTGACTTTTCAATTCTACATCTTTCATTATATACCATATTACTACGATTTAATGGGCTTTGATTTAGGAATATAATTACCTAATCACAAGATCGGTACAACCGTTCGGCTGGATCCTTTGTTAAAATGGTCTATAGTGCAAGTTGGTTAATTCGATTTCTATAAAAACAGATGAACCCAGTCAATCGTGTACCAAATCATGTCATTCTATGTGATATAGCATAGTATAGCCTAATATAGATATGATATCCTAGTAAGTAGTAATTTAACACGAAAGATACTTTTACAAGATGTAAACACAGTTACAGTTTTTACCGTTGTGGTTACAAAATATACTTACAAAATCTAAAGTTGAATTTTACAGTTATTTCTTATTTAAAATAATTTTATAATTAGACAATTGAGTCGAGAGGTCTTTGTGCAGCAATGGAATAGAATTTAGACAATTAAAAAAGTCTGCTTTTAATTTCGTTACTTACTAGTTTACTAATTTATTGATTTGTAGGTACAAAAGATGCATTATTGCGCTTATACATTTTCTATAATTTCTGATATTAGATAAATTTACTGCCTAAATTTGTCAAATTTCAGAAATTAAATTTTAAGCTAATTAAGTAAATACATAAGTAATGTTAAATAGCTAACTTTTTCTAAGACTGCATATAATATTTACTATTCCAATGCTATTGGTTACTACTGGCGTTTGCAGTTTTGCACAAAATATGAATAGGTATTACTATAAATAATTAAATTGACTTCGGCGAATGATACTGGAATATGAAACTTTTCAATACTAACAGTTTTTTTATTGTTACAGTTGTACAACATGGATTTATGAGTTCGCGATTTGAAAACCATCAACGGTGGGTGCGGACGAGATGGGGCGCGCGCGGTACATTGCGTGCGCGGTGCTTTTGCTGTGTCCTCTAGCTTTAAGTCGCCATGATGACGACTTTGCTTTCGACAATAGTGACGAGTTTCAGGTTAGTATACTCACAATACCTAATTAGGGATGTGAAAATATTATCAATTATGAACAAACAGCGGGTATATGAGTGATATGCGTCGAATAATTTATCCGGTAAATTACGAAACATAATATGAAAAACAGTAATTTTTTAATCGTTTTTAATATTTCATTCATTCAGTTATTTAAATAATCTAAAAATTAGACCAATTTAGTAGTGTAAAATTAATTATTAATATTAGTAATGTAAAGTAAGTTATTCTTATATATTCTTAACCGCGTATTAACATTAATAATTTTATATATTTGACTAGGTTATTATATGTACGGCCCAGTGAATAATATAAATGTATGTATGTGTATTAAACAAAATATTAAAAATAAAGACAATTCATTTATGGTCTATAAAGTAACTGTTTCTGTAATGCTACCATTTTCATTATTATCTTTCTGTCATTAAAATTCAAATGTTCCTATAAATTAAATAAAACTCTTCTCTGCTCTCCATTGTAATGTTATAAAGTATTCAAATGAGTTTGTTACGTATATTAACGTACTGAGTCCGTAACAACTGAGCAATTTATTCTCATGCTGAATATTTGAATTTTATTACAATGAATGAACAAGCACAATCACCAATTATTTTGCAATAGAAAATTTAATAACCATTCTCGCCAAATAGCATTATATGTATGTCTAGACGTCCAAGTGCATATTGCAATCATTGGTATTGTCGATATTTTCAGGTTGAACTTACAGCCAATCATTCAGAAATAACACGAAATGGCCTAAGAAGATTATGGGGCGTTCCTGACACATCGGCCTACGTGGGACATCTGTTCCGAATGGAAATTCCCAAAGAAGCTTTCTCCGGAGAAGTACAAGCATACAAGGTAGGTGATCAATTATAATTACATGAAACAAGTAATTTCAATGCAGAAACGTGAACCTTCTATTGTAGGTATACTGCAGTACATTTGACATTCATGTCACTAGTTCTCTCTTCTGTGTAAGTGAATATAGATTTAATATGAACTAGCTACCCGCTCCGACTTTGCACGAGTATATCAAGTAATTTACACAAAACCTTAAAGAATTATATCTTTCTCAGAAATAACTCATTTGATGGATGCAAACCACGTGAATATCAGTTATATTGAGTTTATTGCGAACATACACATAGACGAGGCCAGGGGACTTTTTTTAATACGGAATATGTTTTGACTATATTATTTATCTGTATTTTGTGTTTATATAGATACTAAATATGAAATATTCACTTCTAGGTTCGCCGGGATGACGGTCGTCACACGCCTAACTGGCTCGCCGTGGACTCAAAACACGGCCTGATCAGTGGCTTGCCTCAGCAGGCGGATCTCGGTGCTCACACCTTTACAGTTACAGCACATGGACGAACTCGCGGACTTACAGCCACCGACTCCTTCACTATCGAGGTATTTATTGCATCTATGTTCTAATTATTTAGTACGTGGTACCCTAGGCTTCCAAGCTATATATCTCTGTGCTGCATTCAATGCCTGATGATACAAATTTAAAGGCGAAACACTCGCAATATGTGTGTCAAAAGTCGTATGTTTTCAGTAGCGTCAGGTTTTCACACTGAATATTTGTGTTCTCATCTCATTCATGCTAATGGTAGCGGTATTTAATAAATTAATATGTGTATACATATATATATTAAACAATTAAATGTATTTCCAAAAACACACGTATTTTGATAAAAAAATATATTATATTGTCAGACTGCTTAGGTTAGCAACGTTCGTATACAACGTGCGTTACTGAATAAAAACAAATGGGCAAGGGCCAAATATTTCACATTTATAATACATATATATATATATATATATTTGATTCACCACATATATAATGGACTCATTACATCAGCACTATTCCAAATCTAGAAACAGCAACGGTCATTTTCATAATGAAAAAATGTTTTCAGAAACATTCTAGAGCGAATTCATTTATAACACCTAATAAACTTACTTACCTAAGAGTTGATCTTAAATAATATCTTAAATAAGTACGTATTTATTAGTCTTTACAAATGAAAAGTATAGAACAAAAGGACTATTCATACATTGATAACCACATTACCAAACGCAACGTCTTGAACTTTACTCACAGAATTCTCGTCATATTGTATTTAAAGAATTATTGTCATCGCTATTACAGGTACATAATGATTCAGCTATTGAACAACTCCTTTGTTTAAAGTTTGAAAGTATCCTTTATGTAATACTTCTTTTACTTCACCTAATAGGCTACAGTTTTTAACGTAAACTTCTATTTATATAAATTTACTTAGGTATATACTTGTAACGTAAGGTGAGTTTGACCATAAAACTCTTTGTAAAATCGAAGTATAAAAAATAATCTCGATGAACCATGGAGGACCATAAACTTTGACTGACGACTTGACGAATTTAACAAAAGAAAATCTAAAATACTGTGAGTTTTTTTTTAATTATTTATGTGTATATATATCCATACGTCCATCCATCCATATTACATCTATGTTTAAAACAGATAGAAATGTATATTATTTTCTATACCACTTATGCCCCCGAAATAAATGTCAATAACACAGCACTACTCTCTTTATTGTTACTTTAATAATAATCGAACTGCTTTAAATAAGCAAATTGTGTTGGGTACAGTTCGATGAAACGGAATTACAAATTGTCTTAATTACTAGACTCGAGAAGCAGACAATACAGTGATTGAATCTCGTTACATTTGCAAATCAATTTAACTCGTGAACATTTAAAGTAGACGGTTGAAAACAATAATATTGCCATAGAAGTCTACGGTTCTTTTTATTAACAAAGAACAGTTATATTATTTAAAGACTTGAATGTAGTCAAGAATAAAGGTAATATATCAATATTATGTATACATATAATAAAAATGTTACATTTTATTTATGTATGCATAATATTAATGTACTAACTTGATTTTTCCCTCTTTCTTGAACCTATGCCGAACTATTTGTCTATATCTACTGTTTGAAGTGTTACGCACTTTCTTCAAACTGAAGAATTGAAGATTCTGTCGAGACAAATTACAAGCATCAAATCATCAAATTATAGTATCTATTTATTAGATATTATTATTTTTTATGTTAAATAGTATTATTAATATATCTATGCGAAGGTTTTGTACTATTTTGTACTACCCTTGTTGTACTACATTGTTCTACGACAGTGCTTTCCTAGATCCTTCAGTAGAGTTACTTGATAAACTGGAGCGCTTGCAAAACCTCTGCATAAGATTCATCTTCGGTTTACGTAAGTTTGATCATGTCTCTGTCTATCGTAAGCAACTTAATTGGCTTCCTATTCGTGACCGTCGTAACATCCATTTGCTTACCCTTTTATATCAGATCCTTTACAACTCCAGTTCACCCATGTACCTGCACGAAAGATTCCGGTTACGGACTGATGACCGTCTTCATTCCAGTCATAATCTAGTTTTGGCAATACCGTGTCATACGAGTCATTGTTACACTAACTCCTTTACAATACAGTCTGCTCGTCTTTGGAAAGCTCTGCCAACGGAGGTCAGATTGTCTTCATCGGTTTACTCCTTTAAGGCTCGCCTTAAGTCACACTGCAGATGCGCTGTTTTAGTATTCTTCATATTTTTTTTTTATATAGTAATATTGTTTTTTATATATTTCTGGTGTTACTATTAATACATTTGTTATTTTATTATTATTGTTTTATATACATATATGTATTTATATATTATACTTAAATATTTATTTAATATTGTAGTTGTTATATATTATAGTTATATAATGCGTTTGCTTCTTTTTCCTTTGTTGTTATTGTCATATATATATGTAGTTCCACCACTCCACAATTCCTTTCAGTCATTCAAAGGTTGACTGGAAGAAATCCCTCATTTGGGATAAGTCCGCTATTGTACATCTTATATATATATATTTTTTATATATATATATATATATATATATATATATATATATATATATTTTAAGATCGTTGTATCTTTAGTTAATTTAAATGTATTTATTGTGCAATAAAGTGTTACAAACAACTTCTCTGAAACCGGGATCTGATGAATTCCCTGTTGATAATCGATCGATATTTCTATTTTATTCTAATATATATATATCTAGATTTTCACAAGCACTTTAGTTGCCATGTAAATTTTACTAACCACAGTAATCAGTAATTGCTCGGGTACTTACACAATAGAATCCTCTATTTAATTATTCAACGAATTAAAATCTGAGCTCAACAATCGTATCATGAATATTCTCACGAAATGTATCGACTCATTATGTACATCTAATTACAGTGTAGTTAATATGTCCGTATAAATAACAAATTAATTTAATGCAGATCTTAAAAAATATGTGCACCACACGCACGATGAACATATGTATTTCTTTTATTATAGAGAACAGCAATTCATTTAGTAATCTTCCAGTTAAGTTGTAAATAAATAGTAATAATAAAATAACCGATGCTCTGTTTATTGTTTAAAAAAAACAAACATTTTCATTTCTAAAAAAATGTTTTGAAAATTTTCGATTGATAATAGTTCATTCCATGCGTTTACATATATTGAGTGTGCCCTGTAAATTTCACCTGTACATATATTTTCGTTAAAAACTATTAAAATATCAACTTACTCTCAATCTTCTTCCTTGTTCTTGCAGGTGAGCATGGTCAGAGGTAATCATTTACCGTCACTACTTTTACTCGTTTGTACTCTATACTTAATAAAATAGGATAGTAGTGTAATGCAAATTGGAATTACCAGTAGTGTATGCCTTCAAAAAAATCTTCTAATTTTATTAGGATTATTATCATCTCTATGACCACTATCATCTCTACTGGTTACAAATAGATCCTTCCTCATAAGAAGAGAATTGAGTCTATTAGTAATTAATAAATGTTCGAACAAATGAGATAGTGATACCACAACATACATATTTATTAACCACACTGTATTATATTGTCCTATAATAACCACGGTTTATTATAGGACAGTTGTAAAAAAAAATATATTTATGAATGTTTATCTTTCTTATCGCTTTGTTTTAAGTGCAGCCTTCTAAGATATACTTGGGAATAATGGGATGGATTGTTGGGCGATACATTGTATTCTGACTCCATAACCATACATAAATAGAATACGTAGTGATATCTATACTAGTATTACCAAGAGGAAAATGTTTGTTTATTTAATGTAAGTTGTTTAATACATTATTGTACAATAAAACTTAGTATAAAACGATACAATCAACTTATGAAACAATTTCTTACAATGGCTGTCTTATCCCATAAGTAGGTTTTCTTCCAGTCAACCTTTGAATGACTGAGAGGATTTGTGGAGTGGTGGAAACAAAGGTACGATAAATATTAAGTAATATAATATTTGTATGATATGAAACAATACTTGACATATTTTAAAAAATCATTTAGCTGTTATATTACTTAGATATATTATAAATATGATAGATTTCTCGCCAGCAAACGCGAGATTCTAGTTATGTATGAAAAATATTTTCATAATATCGCGGTAATTTTTTTTAATCAGAATAACATTACTGAGTTCTTAATCCACATTCCAGGTGAAGAAAGCGGAAGAGAAGCCGCAGTCTAAATACGGATCATGCGTCGGCGCGGAGAGCCGGCTGGTCCTGGTGATACTGGTAGATGGTGCGTTCCACCACATAGTGCCGCGGCAGCGAATACGGGCGCTCATGGAACTTGCCAAATTTATGGCCCTCGATGGTGTATGTATTTTACTTTATTATTAAGAATTTTAATAAGCAATCTTCAATATTTTCAGTATTTCTGAATGAGTCTCTCAAAACCCCAAATTATTACCTAATAGCTACTCAGACGTATGAAATTGTACATTATTAATATCGCTATAACCTAGTGACAAAGTACTTAATCTAATAATATTACATTCTCAACAGCGAAGGAAACTCGCCAGATCGTTAAAGTATTCACACACAGCCGAAATAGTAAAAATTGTTTAATATCATTATTATTATATTTGCCTTACTTTATAAGCCATTTTAAAATATTGTAATCGTGGAACGTATAGTAACTTATTGTTCATTATGTTGTTGATTACTGACTAGTTATATAATATACTATTTATAATAACTGCAATATATTAATATTTTTAAACAATATCCTTAATGACTAAAATATTATTTTCATTATATTGTATTTATTCGTCCATACTGCAACAGTAACTAAGATAAGGAAGACGCCATATAAGGGAAGACAATACTGCTTCCTTCAACGCTTCCGTTTACCAATACAACAAGTTTTGAATATTAGTAGTAGGTAATTCGTGGTATAAAAATTTAGTTAATTATGGTTCTATTATCACATAGCGCCTTAACATTGAAATATTATATATATAACTCTATATATATTAGTATATTTGAACTACTAGTCAACTTTGGGCAATATCCCTAAATTTAATGAGTAATAATTATAATTATAATAGGTATATAAGTTTATATAGTTAAATCTTTCACATGTCTTTAATACATACCTGTATATATCTATAAGAAGTGCATGAAAGAGGTGTTATGTAAGAGTGAACTATGTCGCGAGTAGTATACTAATTGTAACGCGAGTCCTAGGTGAGCCGCAAATCTTTTCTCTGAGGATCAGGAGTAAAGGAAAGCAACTATTATTTATTGGTACAATTTACTATAATTCGACTTTAAAATCACTGCCATAGATCGTAGTTTTGTATTAAGTATCTAGGGAGTGCTTGTGGCATATTTCGTATACTCTGTTGATTTTTAACTTTAGGGACTGGCCTGAACCTTCCAATTTACATAGAGTTATGTAACTAAAAAGTGAGATATATATTTTTTTAAATACGAGTTTAAACGTATGTTATAATATTATTTTCTATGAATTATTACAGGATGAATTTTGGATGGAGCCCTACAAAGCGGAGGTGGATCACACATTGACAGTACTGAAGAGTGGCGCCGGTAACACGCAGCACAGGCGCGGAGGCGCTATTACAGCTATCTATTTAAACGTGAGGTTTTTTTAAAGTATGAATTTGATATAATAACTTAGAACTATAGATACAGAACCATCTAATACGAAATTAAGCACGGCTTGTACTATAGGTATAATAATAAGAAACAACAATATGTGGGTAATCTACCCATCTAGCACACCGTTTTACATCCGTTGGTCACAGGTTCTATTCCTCGCACTGTGCAAACATTTGTATTCATGAGTATGATTGATTGTATCCGTATGGGTGTTTTCTATGTATATTATGTATCTATTTATAAACAAAAAGTATTTATTTATATCAGTTGTACTAGTAGTACTAGTATCTATAACACATGATCTGCTTAACTTGGGACTAGATGGCGTTGTGTGAATTGAACACAAGGGTATAATTATTATTGTTCCTTTTTCTTAGTAATTCCTTTGTCTTAGTAATTACATAGCATGTTTGTAATATACAAAATTTATTACAGCAGTAATGTTAGTAAGAAAAAGAGTTCAGATTCACTCAATTGTCTAATTTCACGTTTAAAATCATATTGATTTTTAGTCTAAATCCATTTTCATATCAGGTGGGGTGCAAGAACAAGGTGTGGCCACGCCATCAGGTGCTGGTAGCGGGATTACGCGAACAGGCACGGGATGGATCTCTGGCGCACGTCCTGCAGCTGCCCGTGTTAGGATGGCGTCTCGCAGCCGCCGCCGCACCACGCCGCAAGCGCCAGGTCAGTAGGCATATATATATACATATAGTGCATAGCAATAGTTGTTCATGCAAGGAATTTTCTGTTAATGTTAAACATAGACACATACATAAGTACACAATGTAAATAAACTGGCTTTTAAAAGAAATCTGTTGAGTTTGCCTCACAGGTAAGGAAAAAATATTAATATAAAAAAATTACGTTCATAAGAGGCTAAATTGTCCTACATGAATAAATGATTTTTATTCGATTTGATACATCACATAACCGTCTTAAACAGTGTGATTTTGCCTCTGCAAAAAGTCAATCTCGTCTTTTCCATCTGCTTAACTCCACTTGCTAAACATAAACTTGTACTGTACAACTAAAAAAAATGTAATAACTACACTAAGAAATATAAAAATAATTTGAGTATTATTCTTACTGTAATGTTTGTTGTTTTGTTTGGATTAATAAATATAATTCGTATGATTCTAAAAAAATTGTTAAAATGTTGCCATATCAAGTTTTGCATTCACCACGCCAGCTGAAAATTCCCCTGACCACCCGGATATCGGGAGCAACAGACAGGGTGTGTGGTTATGACGGTATAGTTTAATATAAAAATATTTATATTCCAGTTAAAACTTCCGGAAGGGTCCGGCGGGTTCGATTACGACAACGAGGACGACGGTGGAGACGCCGATCTCGACGCAGATGGAGACTACAGCGGTTACGATGACAATAACGACGACTATGATTACAGCCGCATCGATGACGGAGCCGTAAGTGTGCTTGTGGGTCTATTTATTACACGCACTAAGTTAGAAGCACAGAGTACCTACGTAAAGAAGTGTAAGCTTTTCAGCTATGATTAAATAGTATTAATAACAATGCTGTGGTTATCACACACTAAGTCTATGGTTATGTAAATTATATTAGTGGTAAAAAATTCTAAATTGAACAATAACTGAAGCTTACACTCGACACGTGGTGCTACGGGTAAAAAGATGCTGATTCGAGACAATAAGCAGTTTGTTTTAGGAATAAATTATTTGTATTAATATTGTTATAATCAGGAAAATCACTAAAAAAACGCAAGATGCATATAAAAAAAGCAGTTGCATATCAGTGAATGCAGGCTGATATCTATTAGCATATTATCAGTATATTTTTTACTGAAAAATGGAAGTATTTTTTACTTTTAGCACTCCGCGCGTCCTTGCACTGTCACACATTTGTTAACTGTGTGCAATTTTTTTTTTCTAAAATTTAACCACATTTTTCTAATGTGAAAGTGAACAATGATAGTCGTAGACAATGCAACAGTATTTACTATTTTTGTATGTAGATGTGTATGTTTACGTATGTGTAGCATTAAAAAGGTTCCGAACACGTGTTTATACACTGAGTATACAAATACCAGAAGTCCCTGTTGTTTATCATATGAGTATATCTTTCATATGAAAAAACAACGGTCAAGGTTTTCTTGATCGCCTTAATCTATTATGAATAGCATATATTGTGCTAACCTCTAATTTAATGTGAGATTAATCTTGACGCATTTAAAAAAAATGTTACGCTCGTAATTAAAATAAAAGCTATAAACTTTCGTTTTAATGATATTCGACATTCCTGAGTTTAAATTACTGTATCTGTTTTAATTAGGTAATATATATCATACAACTGTGCTTGAAAAATGTATACTTTCAGGCACAGTGTTACTAATATTATATTATGATATATGATTTTCATGTCACTTTGCTATGATACTGTCATCCATAACATGTAACCTTTATACCATCACCTATTTATTTATTGGAAACCTCAAACATGGAAGGCTACGATTTTTTATAATACTAGTACATATTATTGTGTTAAATCTAAAATATTATATTTATAATGATGATTTTTTTTTGTTATAAAATCTCTAAGAATTTGAATATTTGAAGTTCATAGACTATAGAGTGGACTTGAATATATACTCGTAATAAAAATAGGACGAGTTATACAAGACATATTTATATTAAACCGCAAATAATTGAGCGCATACTAAATATTTATCCGTGATTCATATATCAACTCAGACAATGACATCATAATGAAAAATTGAATTATATATATAAATATACCTATTATCTAAATACGCCTAACATGTTGATGTTCCCAATAAATATACAACATGTCTAGTGTTCCCATCATGGAATGCATACCTTGCACTTTCGTGTCTATGTCACATCATACAATAGAAGCATTGTCGGGACCCCATATAGCATGGAATGTGAATGACATTTATAAATTATAATCTTGTTTTATATGCAGAGGGTAATGGACATTTCTTTTTTATTTTACCTACACCTTGATTTCACGTCTATAATTATTTCAATGAGTTTTTTATAGCTATAACGACATTTTATTTGTTCTCTTTATCAACTACTCTTATATCACTTCGACCGGATATTGGTCGAATTAAACAAATATTTGTGTATATTAATATTCATTATAGTGGGTGTTTTATTTTACATGTGTTTATTTTATTTTATACAACAGTAGGTACATAAAATTGTATCTTCTACATAAAAATCATTGGACATTTCATACATTATTCATTCGTACATATTCAATCATTAAACATAAATTGATAATTCCAATAATATATACAGCGAGTGAGCTTCGTGTGTGGTTATTTAACACAGCTTTTAACGAGCTTTTTGTAAATATAAATGTTAAATTATCATAATACTCATGCCGCTTTGAATTATCCGTACTCACGACTTTATCGTGACTAATGGACTGAGTAAATTATTATTCATTTATGTGTTAATAACATAAACCTTGTAATGTCTGATTATTATTGTGTTGTCTTTATGTAGCTTTTGAGTTTTGAGAGGATGTTTAATACTAAGTAAAATACTGAAATTCAATACTATCGTGTCATCTCTTCCTAAGCTAGATTAGATTTCCCAATATTTTAATAATTTTGTGTACTTTTGGTATATTAATTATTATACTCCTAGAGATTCATGCTCATAGAGCGGTGTCTACTTTTGATATATTTTCCAATAAACATATTTTTCTTAAATATAAATAACATTTATATATAAAAATAAAAAAAATCTCGTGGATGACTCTTTGTCCAACTCTTCGTTTTCTAATAGACAACAGTACATGCTATCTGTAGACTGTTAATTATATCAAATATTTTACCAATAGGCCATGATTATAAACTATTAATAGGGGACAGACTATGAGAGATAATGTAATGAGCGATAGATATAAATTGTATAGTTCACTGTTATTACTTCCTAATTGTACAGATAATATATTAATAAGAGCCGAAATAAAAGCCGTGAGAGTATAATAAAAGCATATTAAAAACTACCGAAACTAAATTGCGAATTATATATTTTTTTATGGAAGAGTCCAATATAATTGCCACCTGATTGAAGAGTATTGGAATATAGCCATAATAGCCATAAAGTTCAACTAGTTCGTATTATTGTATTGATGATACAATAATACGATACGCCATAAATATAAACATATTTATATTTATTATTAGAGAATATTATATATATATGTAACTTCAGTTAAAGACGTCCCTTCGAAGCTATAACCACAGACAGGGCTCGCTAGGGTGTGCACAAATGGGTGGCAGTACTAACATAGTGTATGTCGCGGCGCGCGCTGCAGGTGGTCCCCTCCCCCTCCCCCACACCCGCGCCCACCCCGCACCACCACCGCCACCACCACGGCGAGAACCCAGCCCCGAGCGCGCCACACACCACCACCGACACGTTTCAGACCGAGCCCGAGGAGACGACGACTCTACTCACCACCACCAACAGACCAAACCCGACATCCCCCCCTACCACGTCTACTACCACCACGCCCGCTCCCACCTCCCCGCTCACTTCCCCGCAAACCACGCCCGACCCTACGACTACCGAGGAATACACCACCGCTCGCGAAGAAACCACTCCCGAGCTCGCCTCTACTAATACGTATACCACAGAGGTTTGTCGTAACCCGCTCTCGCGCTTTCTGTGTTTGCATGTCTGCGTGATTTTTATATAATTTATTATTACGGCGGGTGTATAAATAATAATGTATAATATATGTATTATGTTTATTAGAATTTGAACTACTTAAACTGCTACATTTATTTTAACATTAAGTTTTTCAAGAACACATAGCATTTATACTAGCATGTAACTTAACAATTTTATAATAATTGTAGAAACGCTATTCTATTCAATAGCCGTTTAAGAGCATAAGATAGAAATGGCTATGTTCTGACGCAGTTAAGATTCACATTAGTAGGTTTAAGTTACTTCATAAATATGTTTTTGCACATTTGCATATGCTATGTCGATTTCCTTACAGTTTCTTTAATATTTTCGCGTTTTTGGCTGCAGGACCAAAAAAGTGGTTTGAGGTGTTATAATTAGTATTACTAGTAAAGTGTGTATTTAGATTAGTGTAGAACGTATTAACCCTAGATTTGGATGTTAATAGTTGATGTTATTCTCGTATGTTACTAATTGTAATATAATTATAAATTTAAAGTTTATTAATAAATCAATAGTACATACATATATTCAATACGTACACTATAACGGCGCAATGCAAAATAATTATATATTTTCTTTACATATTTTGTAAACAGCACAGTTTTTTTTTATGATTTACATATAAAATGTTATTTTAAATTTATAATATGAAAGTTTTGTTTTCTTATTGTTACTGTAGTATTAGTAACATATTTTTTTAAGTAATGATAGTATAAAATTAGTAGCATGTAATCTGGCATGACAAAATACTCTGTATGCAACACACTGTACTAAAAAAGTATCTTACACATAATGACAGAACTAATTATCTTCTATCAGGAGGACAAAGTGAAGATCACACCTTACGATTCAGCCTCTGAAGCGAGCAATGTGAATCACACGATAGAAATTCCAGTCATCCCAAGGCGTATCGGCAGTTTTCCTGCGGTCTTGCCCGAATACAATGTATCCGAGGTGCAGACCACGACTGAAATGGAAGCGGTATGTCCTCTCTGTCCAACCATCCTCTTGTTTCAACCTAACTATCATCTAGTGGGTATTAAACTAATAGTGTGTGGGTTTGAAAGTTAACACGGGGTACTGTGTAGTTTAGACAATCTCTAATCAGTACTTAATACTATTCACGCCCCATTCTGTAATTCTAAATATTAATTATAGTCTGAAAAGGAAGAAATAGTTAAAATTTTTAAAACCGTATATGGTAATTATTTAAATTCAATTTACAATTATCCCTTTTCGGATTATTATCATTAAATTTACTAATCGATGGACGTAAAGACAACGTTGTGGAAGTGCATTTAATATCTTTATTATTTTATAAATACATACTGATTCAATATTTTCATATTCAAATCATTAACTGATATCACTCACATATAATCGGACGTATTGATCATTATCGTTGTTTCGGTCGTTTCCCCTAATTCTTTTTTATTAAAGAATCTTTTGTTCTCATGAATGTAAAGTTGCAATTCTACATATAAATATGAATTATTCTTTGCCCAGATATTCAGATCGTGTCTTTTAGTTTCTATTATTTTAACATACATGTATATAAAATTTAATAATGATAGGATAATCATACCTAATTGTTATTTTTGATCTACGAAAATTACTTTTTTCTATAAACTTAATGTATCGATTTCCTTCTTTCTCTTTTTCTCTGCTTTAGATTACTTACCTATACAACGGATTTGTAAATATGTACATAACCGGATGTGCACGGTATATAATAGCACTAGTGTCCCTATTAATCGACAGCAAACAATGGAATTTCTCCTAACGTTGTCTTCCCGTTTACAATTGCGACACATCGTGTGAGCGTCCGCATGGCACTTTCAGCAAACAGTAGTTATACGCGGCTCGGACGAACTACCGCCGGTGTCGTCGTCCGAACAGCCGACATCGTCGACGCCGTCATCGACGACGTCCACGAGCACGTCGACCACGACGTTACCGCCCACGACAACGCAAATACCGGAAACGTCTACGTCGTTCCTACCGATACCGCCGGTTATACTGACCACGGTGAATACGACGTCATCTCTGCCACCCACGACCTTGTCGACGGCTCAAACGACACTGTCGTCGTCAGATATACCCACTACTACCTCAGTTCCAGAAACTACAATACAGGAAGTCACCAAGCAGGTCCGTTTAATACTAATAAAGCTTTCATCATATTTTTTTCGTTTTTGGGTGAACTCAAAATGAATCCATAGAGGTATCACAAAACACATTTTTAACTAATCATAACTTTAAATAGATATTTTGGTAATTGAGGAGTGTTGTTTTGGTATTTCATTCATTATCTAACACTAACCATAACAAAATTCAAAATTATTTTAATATAATATTATTTCTCCTCTGCAGTATCGTCACTTGGATATATTTTGAGTATACAAAATTGTATTTTTTATTAAACCTGTATTTTTAGACCTATGTATTTAGTATAATTAGAGTGCGGTGAAGGATTTATATACTTCTACACACATTCTAATGTAACATACACAATGTAAAAAAAATCGCACTACTGATTTTCGTACCTTGGTTAGTCATTTTTAATGTCTTATACACTTTTTATATAATTTCAAACAACTAAACAAATCTAGGTGGGATGTTCATTCGAACTGGTCTAGATTTGAGATCAGTCCTCTTCCTCTCTAATAAATTTTGTCGCCAAGCAGCATACAATTACATGGTACATCTGTTTGATTAGTGAGTTATATACAGTAAAACAAACGTATATGCAGAACAATAAAATAGTTATTTTATTGTTCTGCATATACGTTTGTTTTACAGTACTGTGGTGAAATATCTTCAATCACAAGAATTGACAATACACGAGTACGAAGCGACTTGTTTAGCCCGCTTAACATCAAGCGGTAGGTCCATCCTCTCGTTTTGTAAATAAAAATATATAATATATTTATATAATTGCAGGATTATGGATCTTCACAGAGAAGTAGTACAATAATAGGTCTCACTACTGAAACGGTGACATTCGCAATGAATACGCCGCCAACTCTCAAGCATCATATGAAGAAATTAGCCATCACGGCCGGTAAAGCTTTCCGGTAAGACCTGCTTCCTAATAATAGGCATAGGAATGTATTCTTTTTATATCATGATGGTGTCAAACAATCATACGGCCCAGTAATGAGCATAAGGGCATAAATAATAACGAAAAGCAAGTTACATTATTCAAAAACGTATAAGCATGACACCTTTTATAAGAGTAAGTTACAATAGAGGTTTAAGTCTGTATATGATAACTAAGTATTATGAGTCCAAAACTTATATATATCTTAACTGGGAGAATAGATAGTAGATAAATCATAATTTAATTCAATTGAGTTTCAATTTCAATGAATTCTTTTATTTTTCAGTTATATCATACCAGCAGACTTGTTCACCGACGCAGAAGATGGAACCAATCTCTCATTCACTATGTACGAAGCAGAAAATGTACCGCTCCGGAAGGACTCGTGGATACAGTTTATACCTGCCAGCCGTGAAGTTTATGGATTGTGAGTAGTAAACATAAAAACACCAAGATGTATATAAAATGAGAATACGAAAATAGACGTTTGTCAGGTCTACTATACTTATATTATGAACTGCTCAGTTGTTTAATGTAACAGAAATGGTAAACATGTACATAGGCTTTGTATTATGCATGTTTATGAATCTGAGAGAACTCGTTATAATCTACAAATCAGTCGTATATATAGACTAAATATACTATATACGACTATTTAGAACCGTCTTCAATTAATGCATTTTAAATTCTAACTTTCCAAAATAAAAATTTCTTAAAGTTTAAACTTTAAGAAATTTTTATTTTGGACTCTGCTGGTGGACGAAGTAAATAATTTATATTAAGACCTATATAGAGTAACAGCTTCTTATTCGCGCTTCCTTCATTCGAGTTTTCACTATTCGCGGATTAAAAAAATGCGACCCAATTCCTATATTCGCGCCCAAAAATTCCTTTATTCGCGGATTTAATAAGTACATACATAATAATAAAAGTATTCCAATAGGTAGCCAACTCAATATTCTTTGTAAATGCCGTAAATAGAAAAAGAACATAAACATACGTATTATGTAAATTACAGACCGTTGGAAAAGCACGTGTCGCGTTGGAACTTCATTGTCGAAGCCAAAGACAGCGAAGGCGCAGTAGCCCGAGGGCCCCTCGACATCACCGTGCAGCAACACAAGAGCGGTCGCACAATCAACCATCAGTTCGTCATGAATATCGAACTCAGTAAGCCATACAGCAACGTCATCGACTGGCAGATACGAGTTCTGGAAGGGATTGTCAACCTTTTCAGAGATACGGATATGCACCACCTGACTGTATTGAAAGCAACACAAACTGACGATATATGCGAATTCGTTTGGACAAATGACACGCTTCCCAAGGATCCGGCGTGTCCAATGGACGATATTAATAGGCTGATGAAGGTTTGTTACATTTTTATGCTTTATACTGTTTATATTGTTTCAATATAGTTATGCTGTAATAACAGAATCTTTCAAAGACTCTTATGATAAGTTAAATCTACGGATAGGTCGGAGTGCCACAATTCGACGACGTGTGAAGGTCGACGCGATTTAACTACCAATAGGACCACTAATCCTCAAGACTAACAATCCTCCCCCCCAATATAAATACTATATTAATACAAGTGGCGCCGAGGGGTAGAGATTCGACTATAATAAATTTAACATTTCATAAGTCTCTTCACGAATAACATGAAAGACGAACAATATCAATCTATTCTCAAATTAAGCAGTGACTTTAAAATTTTATGAAATGACGGAAATTACGGGGACGGAGTAATTTTATTTAACTTTAATGCACACAATATAATGTATAGTACAGTATATTAAATTAACACTGCAATTTAATGCGGCATTTTCTACCAGTCAACCATAGGTGGTGCAGAGAATAATTGTTGGCGGTGCAAAATTATAAAGGAAAACAAAATGCAACAAAATATAAACAGAACAAAAAATATGTATATACATATATATTCATTAAACTTAAATATATACCAAATAGTCAAACAGTCACAGAACTAAAGAGAGTTAAATGGAAAAAAAAGAGAACTCAGAGAAGAGAGAAAGTTATAAATTCATATAATATTCTCGTAGTTTACGTTTAAAAGAATTTTTTTTCGTTATTTTCGTAAATGGGGGTACGAGGTTTCGCTTCACGTACTAATACATAGACACGGTTTAGATAATGGAGTCGGAGACGGAAGCGGGCGCGGCGTCGGCGCGGCTGTCGCGGGCGATGACGCCGCAGCTGCGGGTGGTGCGCGTGCGCTGGGAGCCGCGCGGCCGCTGCGACCCCCCCGCGCGGCCCGCGCCCGCCCCGCCCGCCGCGCGCCCCGCGCCCCCCGCGCCCGCCACCCGCGCGCCCGACGCCTTCCCGCCGGTCTCCCGCAACCAGGTCGACCACCTCACCGCCGTCGTCGGCCAGCTGCTCGTGCACAAGGTGCCGGAGGTACGTAAACAGGGGGTTACTAACTCATTGACTCACCGACTGGGATTTATCATCATTTCGGCACGGAAGACGTCCACCGCTGAACAAAGGCTCCAAAAATATCTCCCAAAAATCTCCACGACGATCGATGACGAATTTCCATAAAAAATATTATAGCCTATTTTGTTATCCCCTTTGGGATAAAATTTTTACAATCTGTGAATGTGTAATAATGTAGAGAAGACAATTTACACGGCGTCATCTAGTCACAAAATAAACAGTTTGTACTATAGGTATGATAGAAATACTGGAATACGTTTTTTTGTGAATACGTATACAACAAAACCGCTCCCCACACGTAGCTTTTTATATGAACCTAGCTGTACCCGCGACTTCGTCCGCGTTTTAACTTTGTTTGTCTAAAATAAAACAATTTCTCTAAAATAAAAGTAGCCTAAGTTACTCCTTATTACATCAGCTACCTGCCAAAAAAAAGTTGCTTCAAAATCTGTCCAGCTATTTCAGAGATTAGCCAAAACAAACAGACAGACAAAAATTGAAAAATATATTATTTTGGTGTATGTACCGTATTTATATTCATATGCCTGTAGTATAAAACAGTTAATTCAATATTACAAATAGACACACGAATTTTATTTAAATGTATAGATAAAAGAACCGTAAATGAAGGATGTATATATTTAATTTATTTTGGATCAAATAACAGCTATCAGCCTCTGGTCAAAAAAAAATTCTTAAATATTTTCTATAATTCGGGGAAACAAAAGAATAGTTTGGAATACTTGATTATTTGAGTTTACTCTATATAAATGGTAAACTACATGTAAAATATGACATTATTCTTCATAGACTGTACAAAAAAAAATTCCAGGATACGTTCTTCGACCCGGAGGACGGTGGCACTCGTAACCTGGCGCTGTCCCTCCGCTACAGCGACCGGTCGGAGCTGCCGGCCGGCCACTGGTTGCAGTTCGACACTCGTAACCAGGAGTTCTACGGTCTTCCCGCACCCAGCGACGAAGGCAGTGTGCATTATCAGCTTGTAAGTCTTGTGATATCCTAAATCAAGTAAAGTTACTTGATTCCATTACTAGTCTTTTAATAAACAGTCTTGTCTATGAGCGACGATATTTGTAGCTTCTTATAACAGGCATAGACACTATATTCACTGACTATGTTACTCTATTCAGGAACATTATTATTATTATTCAATCTGTATTATTGACAATGTGTCTAATAATTTATTTGTATCTATATCTTAATTATAAAAAGGTTAAAACAGTTTCAGATTACACATACGAAGACATTTTTTTATACTCGGGTATTGATCGTGTTTCTTATTTTACAGATTGCCGAAGACTCAAGCAAAAAGAGCGCATATGATAGCTTAATTGTAGAAGTTGTGAAATCGCCCACAATTCGTCCCACTGTCGAGTTCCAAATGACAATGGAGTATCCATTCGCACAACTCGCATATGACGCCAATAACAAACGAAAGGTTGTCGAGAAGTTAGCTGCACTCTTTGGGCAGAAGAGCACAGACAATATTAGGATTAATAGTATCACTGACAACCCTACCACTATTATTTGGTAAGTATATTAAAAAAATATAACTCTATTGTTTCTCGGACATGATAAAAAAATAAGCATTTTGGAGTACTACTACGATATTTAGTATTCTGTTTTTTATACGTACGTTTTACCTTTCCACCAAACATTGGTTAAATCGGTCATTATCAATTAAAATGCCATGTATTGTACCGGTTTGTTTGGGTATACCATTACCCAAAGACTAACTTTCTTTTTGCACGTGTGGAATCTTTACATAAACCATCCACCTCGCTCCCCTCCTCTGTCTCTATATTCGAATGAAAGAATAAATCAATTAATGGAATATTAACGTACTATGTCGTAGTCTATGCTACTTATTGCTGGGCTTTATTAAAGTTCTTTCAATGTTTTTCATCTTGACACCCTTTATTACTTTTTTACATTTATATATTTTTTTAATTCTAAATACTATATTTCAATACTGAAACATTTAAATTCACAGGTACAATACTAGTCTACCAATGGATAGATGCCCAAAGAAAGAAATCGAGGAATTGCGCAAAATGATAATCGTAGACGAACGCGGTTCAACAGGTGGCGCTCTCAAGGAGAACGTCGACCACGTGTTCGATAAAGATTTTAAAGTTATGTCCATAAGGCTTATACCTTTAGGACTGTGCGCCGAACAGAACACTAAAGTGCCTAAAACAACCATACAAGTACATCCGGGTTCAACAAAGTTGCTCAACTCTAAAGCAGACTCGGCCGAGTCTGGCTACCTCGTTACCTTCATCATTCCAGCAGTTGTGATCGTTTGTATGATCCTCGTGGCTGGCATCATTGCTTGCGTTTTGTACAGAAGACGTAGAACTGGTAAGCTTCGTTTTAAAATATTTATATTTACGAAGTAATTATTTATACTTCGCTGTTTGTAAAAAGTATTATTCTACTGAGATAGATTTTGTAAAAAGTGCATCTGCGTCTCAACCTTCATACAGCTTATAAAATGAGTTACATAGTATGTTTCGATTCTATATATATGAGATAGACATAACAAGATCCGCCATCTTGTTCTTTCTCATGCATGTGGTAACGAATTCATATTTGTTTAGATTCCTTCACCACTTGACAAGGGTGACGATTTCCTTCCCCTTTAGGACAATAGTGTTTGATATAAATTCATTTTACTTCTATTATTGATAGCCATACCCCAAAAAATTATAATTTGATAATTATTCCCGTATTGAAAATGATGCGTTAACTGATACTATATGTTTACAATTTTATTGCTGTAAAAATTATATAAATTAATATAACTTTTCATTGTATAGGGGGTGCGAATGATTGAATCGAAATTATAAGGTGATTTAACAATAAAGATAAAAATCACTCACTGTTGTTGACATGGAAATCAAATTCATTAGAGCTTTTTCACTGAGAATTAAAATAGCTAAATGTTAACCACATTTATGCTTTGTTTTTTTATTTGCTGCGAAATATAACACTTTCAATCTTGTCTGTATATACACTTCGATATCACAAAATGTCATCATAGCGGAAATAAAGCATCAAAATGTACACTGTCCTATATACATCGACATAATAATAAGATGATGCAAGGTCTTATAAAAATGGTTAAACTCTTAACCTTAACTATAACTTAAACCGTTATCTTCCAGATAATGGAATGATTTAATTTGAATGGTTCATTTTAACCACCTGCATTAAGTCGAATAAATAATATGGAAAATTGAGATAAAGGCTATATTCCAAAATTATTATTGTTTAAGTTAACGCAGTTTGCAGATCAGAACGGCTAAGATTATTATGTCGAAATCTACATTAAATTATTACTATAAAAATGTGTGTTCTTATAAAATGGGATCTAAATATAAATATTAATTTATTGTAACGAAGCAACAACTGATCAATTTCAGGTAAAATGAGCGTTGGTGACGAAGAAGAAAGGCAAGCGTTCCGCTCTAAAGGTATCCCGGTGATATTCCAAGATGAACTCGAAGAGCGCGCCGACACGGAACCAGCTCACAAGAGTCCCATCATCATGCGTGAAGAAAAACCACCCTTGTTGCCTCCAGCACCTGACTACAGGGGTGGCGAAGACGTCCCATACAGACCCCCGCCCCCGTTCCCAGCCTCCCGTACCCCTCCTAGGCCAAAAGCCACCCCCACTTACAGGAAACCACCCCCATACGTCCCGCCTTAAGACTGCACTGCCTCACTACCTTAAGCAACATCTAGTTTGTAAGTTTACTGTGTTTCAAAGGCCCCACGCACCTTGGAATAATTTTAAGGCCGTGGTATTGGACCTTTAGTCTGTAATGTGCAAACGCGATCTTTGCTCCATCAATAAAAAGCGCAGTAGGTTTATGGCATGAATGAAACAGCGTTATTGTTTCAAATTGAAACATCTCTTAAGTTATTTCAGAACATTGATCGCATTTACACTATTATAAAATTTAATGATACACAGCTGTATTATGAAACCGGTTCACAAATTATTCGTTTATATGTGGATTTTGAACTCCAATTTCCCTAGTCGAACTCACGATACACTGTTCTGTACTTGTTACATATATTTATTAGCCTCTACAATATTTTTGCATAATTTATCAATAATTTCCTGAAATTACTTTCCCTGCTATTAAGAATGCATTTAATACGAATATTTATTAAGTACACCTCGTAAAAACAAGGAATTGTGCGCCGTATGACTACGAATTTCTTATACAATATGTGTATGTATAAGTTAGTTACGTACTTATGTACTAGCTTTGAGAATTAGGTGTTACACGGTACGGTTAGGTGTTGCTGGTTCAATTATATAAAAACTGGAGACTTCACAATAATATAATGTACCTAACTTAGTGTTATTGTTGAAGTAGAACATGTTAAAATAGTAGCGTTTAGAATAAGGTGAAGTTTAACCAGGCGTGTATGAGTCATATTCGTGTTATTTAAAAAACCGTTCCGCGACGAAAACAGTATTGAAAACTGTAAAGTATGTTACAGAATTGTAGACGTTATGAAATGTATTATATTATAAATTATTCGTAACGTCAATTTCTTAATGCACAGATATATTATTGTGCAAATCTGTGTTCAGTAATAGTTGATGATTGTGATGATATTATCATTGTGTTTACATCCAATTCAGTCTTTCAGTCTTTTTCAACAATGGTATTTTAGAAAGTTTAGCATGCAATTGGCATTATCTGTTACTTGCATTAAAGTCGCAATTTCATTGGCCACTTAGTCTTCAATCTAAATTTGATTTATATAAGTAAATCTAGTCTAGAGAATTTCATTTTCTTTGTTTATATTTTTTGTTCTCCGGTTTCTCTTTCCATTCTAACAATAGCATAAGTGTTAATATATTGAGGTGTTATGTTCTAACATACTAGAGAAGGCACTAAACAAACACTATGTCATATACCGTACACAATACAATACGTAAGGATCTTATTACTATTCAAGTAATATGATTATTTACTACTATTATTATTACCACATTTACATGAATACAAACTAAAAAACATGTGATCTTAATTGCAAGATCTACAGTGATTATATTGTTCTATATCATTAATTTAAAATAATACTATATAACCGCAAAATTAGTAGGTGAACTAAAAAATTTAAGAAATTTAATGTCTTTTGACATAATAATAAATAGATATGCATCGCCTCCACCAGGAATATGGTGCGCTAAAGTCAGTCAAAATAATTTGGACACCTTTTGCCACCAATGGCAAAAGATATACATATTTTTTTTATCATTATTACTGCCGTTCAATTCGGCTAGCTATTTAGTTGAGAAGAACTAGCAAGAAACTGAAGTGGTTTTTTTTCTAGCAGCTAGTTCATATTACCTCAATATTAATTTGATGTCTTGTTGCGACGAATACGAGACTGAACTGCCGTTAGTTTCACTTAGGTCCAGACCAAAATAAACAATGATATGCGTTTGGCTGAGTGTGTGCCATTGTTTCGACAATTGTTATTTAATGTAATTTAAAATTAAACATATCGAAAATGTAACATTTTATAGCCTTTAGCGTAGATCTTCCATACACAGTGTATGTTTAAATAATAAGTGTGTAAATGTATGCCGATCCAAAATCGGGTGTAAAAGCACAAGTTGTAACATTTAGAGCCGAATCGAATCGCTGTTGTGGGTTACTCGACATGAATAGATGGTGTGTACACTATTAAATACAATTAATATTTAATGAATTATACAACTGACTCTAGTTATAGGCTATGAATAGATATTTATAAGACGAAATATCATTTTGTACTTGTTTAATTACCATAGGTTTAAGATTAACAAATCATGTAAACTATAGGAAAACTATGAACGAAATGAGCTATAATAAACATGTTTCTTTGGATGTATTTTTTTTCTATTGTATACTCGTTTAGAGTTTTGCATTTATAGATCTTTTTAGTAATACGAATATACAATTTTACAGGATATCATGTCACTTATTTCTTTTACATGTTAGATGTACTTAATAATGTCCACTGTAAACCGTACCATTTTCATAATTTGATATACTTTAATTTGGCATATTTTTTATGTTTGAACACCTCTCATTGAATACGCACATAATTTATGTAATTAATGAGCTTTTTATTTTTAAATTATTAAAATGTTCTAGTGATAAATTGGTCGTTTTATTTTACATCACAAAGTGCCCCTAGTAAAAATCTATCCATCTGTCTGCTGCGAGAATTAGAAACTTATGGATAAATAATAAATAAAAAAAATTCTAGCTAGACCGGAACTAAGTAGAGTTTCATTAATGGACATACATTTGAAAATATGCGCACTCATACCTACCATGTGTGTTTTCACTGTAACTTAAAGGGCAGTAGGGAAACAATTGTATTGATCTACAATTTGGTTTATAAAAAATACAGGGGGTACTTTTATAACAATCATCTTTTGAAACAAATGAATAGAGATTGCTGCAATTATTTTTGAAGCTTTTAAAAATTGTATTCACAAGACAAGTTCTGCAACAGAGTTTATAGTCCACGAGGTAGAACCTAATTTCGTCAATCATTTTATCAAGCCAGAAATCTTCTAAATTGAATATTACAATTTCCAGTTCTATTAGCTAGGCTTCCTAGCTAATATTAGGCAGCCGGAGTTCCAACGGTGGCGTGAGGAGTGTGACCCTTACAAACATTAAAAAACCTCTTTGTTTATTATAAACCTGCGTTCTGTGCTAGAACTTTAATTATTCAGTTCTTAATTAACAAAATTAATTTTAACAGGTTTTCTACTGCTAACTAGATGACATTATACAAAATATAAGTAATCAATAGAACGAATAATTTAATAGCGCCACTGTGCTAAAGAACTTGACTTGTAATTACTTACTATAAACAAAAAAAAATGAAATGTTAGCAAGATCCTGTTCCTCAATCCACTGTCGGAACCAACTGGTCTTCATAATACAAATACCTTAACTATTATTGAAGTTTTATACGTTGACGAGGTTTGTACACTCTTATGCATAGACACAGTCGCAACAAGGGTTCCATGTTCCTATTTTGCTTTCCATTGAACCCTTATAAAGTTATTCTAATATGTCAATGTCATAATTGATTATGTCACTTTTGCCGAATTGTCAGAATAAAATGTTATATACAGTTGTCAAATAGTTTACCAAATATATAGTAATTAATAGATTTTTTTAAAATAAAATTATAATTTATCAATTACAGTAAGTGGTTAGAAGAAAACCATGAACATTACAGATAAAGAATGTGAAAGAGGCTTTGCAAGAGCAAAGAAAACATTAAAAAAGTTTAATATGCGACAACTTCGCATAGCTCTAAAATATAGGCCTGAAATTCTGAAATTAATACTCAAAATGAGGATGTGTATCAAAAGAAAAAACTTGGTTATAACTAAATTAAAACATAGTCTGCTGGTAAGTTTTACAATATGTGTGTAATTTTAGTTTTTAAACCATTTTCTCTATTATTGCAGTCTTGTTAAATTTTAAAAAATATTTTGGATTTAGACTTTAAACCTAACTTTGTATAATGTTAAGACTTGATAAGCAAATCATTCGACTTTTCAGTTATTTTATATAATTGTTGTATTATAACACTGGGACTGTTATTTTTTAATATAAATTGTCACCCTATAGAAATAATATACAGCTTTTTTAATATTTGAAACATTACTCATTTTAGGTGAAAAATGGCAGTACTCTTGAGTCTTCCATACAGACTGATGAATTAACTCAAATTTCAACAAAAACCAGTGATGAGAATATTTTACATGTAAATTCTATAGATGCCGTAAGAAAACCTTTAAAAGACTCGTATACACAAACATTAGATTCTAATGCAAGTACTGAAAAAATGACACATACTATTAAGTTAGATAATGAGGAAAAGGGATGGAGTATAGCTGAAGAAAAAGGTGAATCAGAGAAGAGTATAGCAGACCAAGTGAAAGAGGTGGCTCAAAGTGCCTTACAGGAGTCTGGCATGGTGTATGTTGAAACTGCTGGCATGTATTATGACTATAAAACTGGGTACTATTATAATCCTGTGAGTTCTGCCAACTTTACTATGTGTATTATGAAATTGTGTTAAAAACATATATTAAAAAAAAGTATTAAAACATTTCATCAGTTGTTGAGTGGCTATAACATAAGCTCCACTTAGCTTGGGACTAGATAGCACTGTATGAATTGTCCAGGCTTATTATTTCTTACTATACCATATCTTTAATTTAATTTAACTATATCATTTAATGGTCTTAAATCTTTATCTAATACAATTTATAAATTATGATCTTCTTCTCTTGATGAAATAAAGATTTATTTACACCAAAGTGGATGGAAATGCTCCAAATAATAATGATATATATCATAATTAAATTTTGAGTGACATCAAATAATAATAATCTTATTTTATTTTACAGGAACTTGGTTTGTATTATCATACAAATACAGAATGCTATTATTACTATTCAGAAGATAAGAAAACTTTTGTATTTCACTCTTATCCTGATCGAAGCGCTAGCAATCCTGCTTTAGAAGCTCACGAAAAAAAGAAAGCTAAGAAGCAAAAAAGGGTGGGTACCTTATTTATATTATTATTAATATTCATTTATTAATGTTAGTATTATGATATGCAATGGTTAATTCCTAAAGTGTTGTCATTAAAATATTGTAACATAATAAAGAAAGGAAATGTAATGAATATTATTTTAATTAAGTACTTCTCCAAAAGTAAACTTAAAGGCCTTTTTGCTTTATCCCCAATAATAACTCATTTCCTTTTCAATCTCAAGATATCTGTTTCTCATTAGTAGAAAATATCCAAGTATGAAATACAATACTATTTTCTGTTTCAGGTAATGAAAACTGAAGAAGAGGTTGAAAACCTGACGAAAAACTTCTCTCAGGTTTCACTCCGAGGCCAATCCGCCTTAGGTAAATAAAATGCTCATAGTCACTCCCCAATATCAATCAAGATATTAATTTACAGGATAAAGAAGAGGATGCAACCAATAAAGCCAGCAAAACAAAACGCAGGAAAATATTAAAGAAGAAAAAAGAAAGCCATCTTGATCAGAATGATACTGCAAATAATAAAAACTCTGATGACAGAGAAAAAGATATTTTTAGTGTTGATGAGACAGAGAAGGACAAGAAAGGGTCAGATGAACTTGAAGATGGCGAATGCAGTGAAAGTGATTGTGAAAAATCGGAAAATGAGGATAATAAGTCAAATGCTAGCACTTCAACGGCTACTGATGATGGTAACATTTGATTTGATAACAAAAGTAATAATGAACCACATAAACATATTTCTTTAATTGATTATCTTAAAGATGATTAAATTCAATATTAATGTAAATTTCCGTTTTGTTTAATAATCTCCATAGCAATGATACAAGAACAGTTATATAATTTTTCCTTAATTTTATTTTTAACCTAATTAACAGGTATACTCAAGTAAATGTTCTATAAAGTACTGTACACTCATTCAAAGCTATTTAAGAAGATGCATTAAGACCTAAAGATTGGGGTGGATCCCCCAATCTATCCCCCTTGCACTACAAATCCTCGGTGCCCTCAGATTATCAGCCCTCAGACTAAAATCGTATCTGTCATGCAGAAGTTGACCTTTAGCCGCTTTATAAGTCCATTTGCGGGTTCGGAGTGCCATCTGCACTGGCCCCCTATCGTTCGGTGAATCTGTGAAGGCCAGCTGCGGACACATATCACGAAGAATGACAAAAGATAGGCTATAATTTGATCTCATAAATAACAAAGGAAGACATGGGTATATTATCATTAATTTATAGCAAGTAATTTATTTATATAAATTTCATCATACAAATTATGTTGTTTCAGAATCCGTAGCTAAACATCATCCTCCATGCATGAGGGTAATTGTTAAGGACACTAATCTACCGAAGCTGAAGGTCGGCAGTCTATTCCTCATCACCAAAGATGGCGGGACTATTGGACGGGAAGGAGACCAACACGTTATTTTAATTAAGGATCATAATATATCAAGGGTAATTAAGTAACACGTAAACTTGCTATTATGATTATTATTCAATATATTTAACTATTTTGAATGATTTCATTAAGAGATAAGTGTGCACAGCAGGTTAAAGATTATTTTGTAACTTTCTTGCGTAAATTAAAATAATCATTTTATATTAAAACTCGTTTATTAGCTTCATCAAACACGTACACAGATAAAACAGAACGGAAAGAAGTTATAGCGCGTATAATATCATTCATGTTGCCAATAATGAGAAATTTTACTTTTATTCATATTAAATATAAATAGTTCTTATAATAATTTTACTCTCTTTTACGTAGGAAGTATTTATACAGAAGGATACAGAAAGTGTAAATTTATGTTATATCTAAACAATATATATATAGAGAAACAAATACAATAAACTTAGGATTGCCCAATTTACTAGCTGAATTCTAAAGAAAACATCTAAATATAAGCTAAGCTTCAGTATTGCGTAGTATCTTGATGTTATCAATTTATATTAAATGATAATCATTCTATTGTATAGGTTATTATACTGTAGGTATTATATTGCACCAATACTAATTATATAATGAAATTGATAACTAACAAGGGAATTCGATTTTTTATGTTAGTATTAAATAAACAGAAATCACACGTGATGGTAAGTGGCAACCGCACGACCTATATGCACCACAGACATCACGTTATCATGTGACGCCCGTAATACTTTCGTCCCTCATGCGTTGCCATTCCGCAGGACTAAGAAGTTATGAATTATTTTGGCGACCCCATTATTGTTTAAGAATAATAAATTTATGTCATTGAAGTTGATCATTGTATCAGTATTTATTTTTCGTTACAGACACATTTAGACATAAGATATGACATGGACAAAAAAGCTTATGTGGCTACAGATTTGGGATCAAAAAATGGTACTATCCTTAACGGTGCTCGGATGTCGGAAAGCCAAGTCGTTAGTGATACTTTAGAAGTGAGTAAATTACCGTATTCCATGAGTTTTTGTAATAATTTGTTTCACAGGAATTTTGTATTCATGAGTATGATTGTTTCTATAGCTCTGGTTATTTTCTCTGTATAGTATGTATGTATTTACAAAAAGAATGTATTCAAGTATTTATATCGTTTGTCTAGTAATGGCTACTAGGCACATAAACCAAAAGTTCTTTTTAGGATTAGATGACGCTGTGTGAAGACTCCAGCATTATTATTATTAGTTACTATTTAAGCAATATTACACTTTTAAACCGAGGATACAGTTTGATGTGTATTACCAATTACATGAAAATAAAATTAATTTGTAGCAAAAGCAACATTTTTTATTAATAATATTTTGTCGCAGATTTTGCATGGAAGTATGATACAGTTGGGTGAAACTAAACTGCTCTGCCATATACATCCAGGGACAGATACTTGTGGACATTGTGAGCCTGGACTGCTCATGGAAAGTAAGTTTTATATTCTATTTGATATACCTATATCAAGTGTACTATTATAGTACAGAAAAGAATAGTATATGTATAGTATAAATCAAAGTGTACATTGTAGTTGTATACATTCAAGTTGAGTTCGATTCTCGTACAGGACAGTCGGCTGTTATTTTGTATGTTTCCTTCATAATATTTAACTTACTCTCTGCTAATGAAAAACGAGGTTTACTTAATTAATCCGAGATATTGCGGTCTGCTTCCCATTGACTCTCCTTAAACATAAACATTACAACAATATATGACGTAGTGCTGCTTTTACCACATCTACAATTAAGAATGACTGGTATACCAATCATCAATTGGAAATTTAAATCACCTCCCATATATATTTAATAAGTATTCTAATTGTATAAAATTAACGAATATATATTTCTTATGTAATATTAGTAAAAATAAAAATGTACATGTTATTAATTTAGCTCATGAGAAAGAGAAGACAGTTGCGTACACGCGCACATGTAGCGTACAGAAACAATATCAGTTGGAGTTGGCGCGACTGAAGAACAAATACGCGCCGCAACCGCTCGCTATAGAGGAGACTGCGTACAACGACCGGGCGCAGGCGCGACGAGAGACGGTCGGTTCTTCGCACCACTCTGAGAAAACACAGAGCACCGATGTTGATACGTTAGTATTTTGAATTTTCGAACTACTCTAATGCTGGTGGCTGCAGCAGGCAATAATAATGGGAATCCAAACTCGCGTAAGGACTAATGACTTTAGTCTGAGGGTACCGTTAGGGTTTTAAACCTCGGCTAAGGCCGTTGTAATTTCGATCCCCTTTTGAATTGGTGGGTCGATATGAAGGGATAAAATAGAGTAGAAATAATCGTTATTCAAATAAGCTGTAATTAATAAAATTTAGATATTAGAGATTTTAGTAAGTTAGAATAGCATTTTTTTTATCTACCTCTCATTGGGAAAGCTATGTCAGCCAAGATAAATGAGCCATAAACTGCCTGTAGTGACCACCAACCATTCCAATTGCTGTCTTTATCCAACACGTTTTTTCACGCACGAATAGCGCGCGCGACTTAGCGCGGGAAAGCCAGCGCGCGCTAACGTGAGTGATTGAATTTTACTATTTTTTTTATATTCAATCTTTGGCGCTGTTTCGAGTCATTTCACTTTATTTTAAATTTTTATTCCATAAATTTTATTTTTCAAAGACACATATAAGATTTATGAATTATCAATTACTCTATAACTATTTCTCTCTGCTCCATAGTCAGGTGTCCGCCATTTTGCAATGGTAATTAATTATTACAAAAAGGCGCTAAAGCAAGTACGATTGAAGGCGGGAATGCGCTGTCAGCTCTTTATCTACATTTACATGCACGTTATTTTCTGCGTGAAAGACTATTCGCGCGTATATGAGCGTACGTGTAAAGGCAACTAATTATACTTTTGTCCATCTAACTACTACTATATGTATTTTCTATTTCAATTTTCTTTTCGATATGGCAGTAATGCCTATAATTTTATGTATTGTACAGTAATAATAATTAGTAATATGTATATATTCTTTAATTTAAAACAATTGAAAGCATATAATTTGAAGTTAGAAACTCGGACAGTACCGAATTTAATCGCATATTATTTTTGAACATTTATAGTAATTTTAAATACTCTTGAATCATTAACTGTTTCTGTAGTTAAATATGAATGTTGAAACGAAATCGAAATGACACTTTGAACTTTTTATAATTATACTTAGGTACAGAAGTCTGTCTGTATATCCAACCTAATTTTAAAAACAGATAAATTATTTCAACGGGCGGGGTATACTAAAGTACAGCAATAAAATCCGAAGAAATTTATTAATTAATAAAACTTAAAGTGAATCTTGAAATCGTGACATTCTAACGAGAGTTGTTTTAACTAAAGTTTTATTTATTAGAGTCATTACCTTGTTTTCAAAATTTAATTAGATATAAACCTCTTGTAGATCATTAAATTTCAACAAAAACAAAACTCCAAGTGCATATTGATAACTGGACGTAACATTTACATATTAAAGATTTTGTTAAGACATATAAATCCATTTTATTGCTTTATACTCGTTTAAACGTCCATTAAAATCTTTTTGTACTTCAAAACAGATAAAGATCACCAAAAGTTATGCTATTTTAGTAATTAAAATATCCCTAGCTATTTAGTCCGCCAGCGTTTCGTACCAAAACTCGTAAAAAGCAAAGGAAACAAAAGCAATAGAAATATTTGTCCGTAATATACAGTCCGACCCTATTTGGCGAGAGGTGAGTTGTACATTTTATGACGTAATTTTATTTCGACAGGTTTATAGCACCAGAAAACAAAGGATTTAAACTCCTGGAGAAAATGGGCTGGTCGAAGGGCGAGGGCCTCGGCAAGGACAACCAAGGAGACACAGAGCCGGTAAGTATACGCTTTGTACCGTGTAATTTTATTTTTACGACTCCATATAAAGTCATTCATCATCTGACAATGTTGAATAACTACAAAATGAATTATGTCTCCATTTTGGGTTTTGACGTGGACTAATTAGTCCAGACCATGTATAATTTGACCTTGCAATCGCTGTAAGGCTTAAAAAATTGCACTATTGCCCTTACATGTAAAGATGTTATGGATATTTGAGCTGGTTAGGTTAGGTTAATTTGGGTTTGTTGCAATCATATTCTTTTTTTTAATTTTAGTTAAATAATCTATTGTCAGACATAAGTCTGTGTATATTTTTTTCAATATATAATTGCTATGTATTAATAATAATGTAATGTATTTCTATACAACGTCAGAGGCATTGCGAAAATTTATAGCGTGAATTTCATACTGAGAAATCGACTCCGAATTTTGGTATCAATTTCATTTAAACATAACCATAACTTTTTTTTCTATAGTATATGAGACATTACTTTTCGGTCTGATTATGTGATGAAATTGGTGTGGTTTTATTTCTCTTCCTCTCTCTGCTGATCTACCTTTATTTCGCAATAGCTCTCTTTCTTTATCTCTCTATGTATAACTGTCCGACATTACTATGGACGTTTCTATGGCGATTTCTAAATGATTAAAACATCCACTTTACATTTTTCGTAAATATAATTAAATTAGCAGTAGTAATGTAAATCACGTCGTATTTAGATTAACATTTATTGTTGTCATCTAGAACATTATACAATAGTTTATTTTTATTAATATTTATCTGGTAAGTGTAATATCAACACTTGCTAATATTAAATTTTGCACACACGCGCTCTTACTGGTTTTTACTGACTCACTTTACGCGTTACAAATCGGGATTTTTAAAAATACTTTTCCTCATATTGTTTACTATGTTAAGCATATTTACGACGTCTAACTCCGTAATTTCACTACGTACTTGTAAAAGAGTAAAACTTAAGTAGTAACTTTAAAGACAAATCTTCCAATGCCTGTAATGTACTATGTAAAATATTTATGAACCTCAATAAACATGTGCAAATATATGATTAGAATTTAAAGACGTAATACATTATTTGTTCCACAAAAAAGGAATTATAAATTACTTCATTATAGTATTGACAAAAGGTAAATAATACCGATTAAAAAAAAATATACAAATTGGCGAAGATAAATTACGTTTTTTGAAACCTATCAAGCAAAATAGCTGTTTTTATGTCTGTTTCTAGACAAGTTAGAAATATAAAACAAAACCAAGACAAAATATATTGAAAGTCGAAAATTACAGGATAATGGCATGGCATCTTAGTTCTCCGGGATGGCAACACATGTGTGGTTTGGGCGGGGCTTGACAACGTGGTGTACGTTAGATTATTATGATATTGATGTACGTTATATTATTATGATATTGTTCATGTATTTGGGACGGTTACTTACCATCGGGTGAGACGTGAGCTAGTTTGCTATTTTTACTTTGTGTAAAATGAAGTCGCTTCTGCTGCCTTCGCTTATCTTTTGAACTACCCAAAGGATTCTGAACTTTTAGTAATAGATAGATGATTCAAAAGGAATGTTTACATATATAATACATGTAGATCCGTGACCCCAAGACCATGATCCGGCCTGCTGTCTTGTAGGGATCAGATTGCTGGCCCGTAAAGGCGACGGATGAAAGGCGACTGCATGCAACTGATATGCGAATGTTGATATGGATGTGTGGTGTGACAAGAATGGATAAGATAAAGAATGAATACATTAGAGGAAGTATGAAAGTGGCGCCGGTGTCGGAGAGGTTAAAGAGTAATCGTCTGTGGTGGTATGAGCATGTAATGCGTAGGAATAAAAATCATATCTTAAGGAAGGTAGATATGAATGTGGAACCATCGACATTCATACGTAACACCTTAATATAAGAGCAGAGGAAAACCGAAAAAGAGATGGATGGACTGTGTGAAAGATAATATGGTAAGAAAGGGACTAAATAACGAGATGACTGCGAACAGAGAGGACTGGAAGAGAAAAACATATTACGCCGACCCCAAATAAATGGGATAAGGAAGAAGCAGATCATGATGTTTTACGCCCTTAAGAAGTCAGGGCGGGTAACTAGTCACTTATTAATAAAAATATAATTGCAGTATTATAGGGAACATGTTTCAAAATAATTCTAGATGCGTAACCCTAAATTGTGTTAGTTTATTTTTTCGCGTGCTGTCTGTCTGTAGGTCAGGCGGGCGCGAGCCTACCCGACCATTTAAAACAATTTGCACACTTTTTTTTCCGCGACGAGACGCATTAGACTCGACCAAATGATGACTTGCCATTAACCATGTCCAGACAGTGATGTCGATGCCTGCCGTGATTAGGGTTGCCAGTTAAATATGGTCTTCATAATAATACTTTATAATTGACATATGATATAAGAATATGAGTCGTTAATATATGAGTTGAATAAAGTGCGCAACAGAATACTAAATTATTTTTTTCTTCTGCAATATATAACCGACATAACAGACATGATATTATTATATATCCATGATGGAACATTAATATTTAAGAGTAGTACCTACGTTGTAAAGTTTAAAGTAAATATTATTTCTATTATTTTCTATAGAAACGAATCATATTAATTAGAAATAATTCTAAATTCATATATGTACAGTATAGAATGTAGACTGAGCGGTAACCTATTAGTGCTCCAATCTGTCAGTTTACCTTTTTGTTTTCAGTTGTAATTTGTGTGTCAATCAATTTTTACTAATATTAAATGCCAAAGTAACTGTCTGTCTGTCTGTGGCGCTTTCATGCCAAAACTACTGAATCGATTTAAATAAAATTTGACACATAGACAAATCTAGAGTGATGCAACTCTTTTCTTTGACTTATTTGGTTGAGTATTACATATTTTTCCCTTATTTGGCCTAGGTCACGATTCGCCGCGAACGAAGTCGCAGGCCTAGCTAGTATTACAATAATTTTATTGTTCAAAAACAAATTACTATGACAAAATAATAAAAACACGACTTTATTATTAATTGAGTTGTGAACGGATGTGTATGCCACTCTACCTGTACAGTGATAACATCGCTGTCTAATATCTCAAAACAACTCTACACCAGTGCACCAACAAATAAATATTCGATGATAATCATTCATTTGTCGCATCTTATTGATGCACTTTTAAAATACGAAGACAGCTGGTATGTGAGTCACATAATTTGTTCTTAGGATACGTTGTTTTTCGCGAACTGGCCACAGACACACTTGGTCCACCTGTCATCAATCATTTGCACAAGGATTTCGCTTAATAAGACCCTTTGCATTCATATCCGTTCTCGTAACATTGTTGGCTCGAAATAAGTTACTGCTGACTGTTGTACAGTCAAACACACAAGTTTGTATTTTGTCATGTGAAATATTTTACATATCAAATCAAACAGAAATCACTTCCTCATATAGCACATTTTAGTCGTTTATGAACGTAAACTTTTTTATATTAATATTTTTCCCAATTTCCGCCGTCTAGTCCAGAATACAGATTTAATTGAGAAGAGTTGGCAAGAAATACTACTAAAATTTCATATATTTTATAAAGCTAAGTTTATTTACATTGTGAATCTATGTGTAACATGAAGTGAACATTCAATGTATGAACTACTATTGCCACTTGAATAATATATTTATATCGGTTTAGCTGTACTGTGAAGTCGCAGGCAAAGCTAGTCTATAGGTACTAACATTTAGACTCTGACTTCATATGCATGGGATAAGGAGCGAGGGCAGATTTTATTACGAAGAAGTTAGATTTTAGAACTTCATCACTAGTTTAAGAAATTCTTTCGCTTTTTTATAGGTATATTACATAACGATACTATGTTAATGTATATAAAATTCACAAAGTTATAATTTACCCCGTCCGTAATTTACACGTTTTTTTCATAAAATATAAAGTATTTTCTCACTGCCGATACACAGAACGAAACCCTTGAAAATAAGTATAAAACTTTCCGTTTGTTATTCCGTATTGATAGCATGATTAATCAGATCAAGACAGTCAGACAACCTGCTTCGTGTAGAGTCACTATAGAATTTTAAAAAGAACAACTTTATTATTTGATAATTTATTGAATTTTATGGGTCCTTACATTTTTTACTCTTTTGCCCATATATATGGTTCGATTCACTATAGGTATCTAACTAGGTTACATTACGTGTTATTCTGAAATCTGTTACTTATATCTATATTCTTATACTATCTGACCCCGGGACTTCTTACCTGTGGTATTCCGATATACAATAGTATATAACTTTTTTGTAAACAGATTAGAACAAAATTTAAAACGAAGCTTAGCACAATACATTCGTAAAGATCAGACGGAAATCGTTTAAGTCGTTTAGCGCACACAAACGCACATACAAACACAACAATGTATAAATCATTGTTTTAGGTTGTATTAAGTATATTTATAAATAGCTACTAAATAATAAACATGATGTGGCAAGAATGGGCTGTAATACGAGATAACTGCGAACAGGGATGAATGGAAGTGAAAACATATTACACCGACCCCAAATGATATGGGTTAAGGTAAAGCAGATGATGACAAGTTTCTAAAAAGCACCAATTCACAAGAGATTATATAGAGATATTAAATAAATAGTTACTTGAGCAACAAAATAAATCAGTCCTAGTGATTAGAGCTGATTAATCCCTGCAACCAGCTCATTTACGATCACGTTTTAATCAGACACATTTGGTTTTCTTCCAAAAAATATATTATCTAATGGAGATATTCAGTGGATATATTGAACAGTGCAGTAAATAGAACTTATTCTTGATTACATCACGTTGTATATATGACATTATTATTAATATTATTATCTACTTGTTCTACTTGTAGAAATTATTTCAGCTGAATAATGTTACTTGTTTGTATAGAACTAGTATACATTTTATTAAATTCGCGTAATCATAG